TTCTTAAAACGAACTTATTCTAATTATTGGCCTTTAGCATTATAGTTTAGATGTCCATATTAAGCTATCTCTATGTGATTTTTATCCTGTCATAATTGAAGTTTGCCACTGTTGATTCCCCCCGCTAAGTTGAGATACTAATTTGAAATTTATGGCCAACACCCAGCCTAAGTGATCATATTCTACTCATGTGAAATTAAGCTCCCCCTTAATGCTGAAGATTGAATATCTATTTCTCTACATCTATGTAATATAGTCTGTTCAGACTTAAAATTTTGACCAGTGCTGCTAGACACTGTTGAATTGAACAGAGAGGGAAAGGGTTATTATGGCAGGAAGAGAAATGAACATTACTTAATGAACTTGCATTTCAGTTGAGCATGGTTTTTAATACAAAAGAAAGAGCTTTTTATAAATTCTTCTGCTCAGCAACAATAAGAAGAGGAAAAGAGCACTCAGCTGGGAACAATAGCTACTCAGCTCATAAAAAATCATTAGAAGGAACATTTTCTTTGTCCGCCATGCCCAGCAATTTCGCTGGTGGGCAATGATCCAGATCACTTAGGTTCCACCTACAAAAATGAGTCCAGAGAACCTTCTCAACTTTTCCAGCTAATAAATTATGCTAACAAAAATCCTAATCTCTTAATGTGTGCAGTGCCACCATAAATAAAATTTTGGTTTTCATGGAATGTTTTTGACAAGTAGACGATACTGATCCAGCCATTAATAGGATTTGCTCTTGAGGTTGCTTTTCCATTAGAAGGGAGGGACTATGCTGACACATTTACTCATTCCCATCAAATCCTCCTTGTAGCCAGGAGCCTGTATCTGGTTGATGACTGTTGGGCAAGGTGCAGGGTGCCAGAGGACAGCATGGTTCCACTGTGTGAAATAAGCTGGTGTACTTGGATATTTCACTTTTCACTGCAGTCTCTGTAGCTCATCTTAAGTTAGTGGAGTCAGAGAAACTTCATATTCTTGACATAAAGAGCCTGGCTGATTCATCTTCTGCCACAAATGGTATTAAACCGTATTAAGCTAATTGTCGAGTGTGTTGAATTATCTTATCAATAAAAAGCTCTTTTCTGTGTTCAAGGTTCCCCATGACAAAAGATTCCTGCACATGAATAAAATGTATTTCTAATGACACTGCTGGATGATCAATCATAAGCATGCCCATTAATGCAACTCCTATATGTCTTGTTACTTAAAAAGTATGAGGAAAAAAGTTTTCTGTTTAAGAACTTATTTTTTTTTTTGTATTTAGCTTGAACATGAATATTTTTAAGAATGAACTTATATCTTCACTGCCTGATATAGTAAGTATTCAATATTTGCTGAATGTCTAAAATATATTTCACAAAAAGTAAAGTCCTTTGAAGACTAAACAATGCATTCCAAGCCCAACATTTTTTCCTTACTAAACTTCTCTCCACTTTTGACTTTACGCTGAAGATTGGCACCATCAACTAAAATCTAAATAGCATTCTATGTTCCCCTTTAATTAACTGTCCATGACTTACACTTTCTCTGCAATCTGAATTTATTTTTAAAAGGCCTTCCTAGTCCCTCAGATTGCATCTAAGATGTAAGAATACACAGAAACTGCAGTATCAACAGAACTTAATTAAGCAGAATATGCAATGACAGCAAATATGCAAGCACAGTCTTTACTGAAGACAGGTAACCAAGCTTTTTACAGATAATAAGGAGTTTGGGGGGAGGGGTGTGTAGCTGGTGAAAATTCAGTTTTATAAGTATACTGCCATTGAGAGAATTACTCCTGAGTATCTGCAACTGTACTTATTCACTGCAACAGTAACAAGACAGATATGATCCCTGTTCTCAGAGAGCTCGTAATTCATGATATTACTTTTGCTGGATGCATCAGAAAGAGAGGGATACATTTTAGCTTGGCCTTCAACTATGTAGGTATAGTTGTGGAGATCTGGGGATTAGGATGGCATCCTTAGGTACAAGGATACCTAAGGCAGAAAAATAGTAGTTGTACTTATTATCTGAAACTTTCTGAGCTTATACTCCAAGTAGCTGTAGTTCAATTATATACGCCTGATTTTGTTTTTAAGTAATGCCTTCACAGACTCAAGGGGAAGAAAAAATCCCAACCCTGTCCTGCTGCATATTAAAGATGAGCACTGATTCTTTCAGTCCTTTCTATCCTCTCCCTTTGAATCGAGGCAGGCTCCGTAATTCTTAGACCAACTGAATATGGCACAAGTGACGCCCTGACAGTTTCCAGACCCAGGGCAATCTGGCAGCTTCCATTTTTTGTCTCTTGGACCACTCTGTTATAAGACAGCTGCTATGGTGACGATGCTCCAGTAGCCCTGTGGAGAAGCCTGTGTAAATAGGAACCTAAGCAGAGAGAAAAACCGAGGCTCTCAGCCAACAACCAGGCCCAACTTGCTGGCCGGAGAACTGGTGCCTCCAGCCTGTTAATGCTGCAAAGAATGCAGATGAGCTGTCCCCACCATGTTCTACCCAAATTGCAGATTCAAGGGTGAAATAAATGATTACTGGGACATACCTGAAACTTTACCCTGAATCTGAGGTATTTTTAAAGATAAAACTAAATGAGGCAGTGAAGGAAGTAAAAATTACATTTTTTGAGCATTTACGTGACTAAATGCTTTATACATCCTTATTCTCTACAATAACCGTATTTGATAGGATTATTTTCTCTATTTTATAGATACAGGTTATTGACTAGAAAACTGAGTAACTGCCCAAGGTCACATAACAGGAAGATAGTATTCAAAAGCAGACCTGACTCCAAGGCACCTGCAAAGAAAACGGGAATTAAGGAAATTCTAAGCTAATGCTGGGGTGACTCAAATTCTCATGAATAAAGTATGGATTAGGAAAATACGACATCAATTAAAAGGTGCAACTGAGGGTGCCCCAATATTCCTTAGCAGAACTTTCCAAATTAGCGGTGACATGTTTTGATGCATAGTATTCAGAAAACAGCAACATTTTCTTAGTATGTAAAACTTTATGATGCCTGCTAAATCCAAGTGCTCCAGGGTAAAGAGGTTACAAAGATGAATGGCAATATTCTTGCTCTGAAGGTTCTTGCATTTTAGTATGAGAAATAAGGTATGCTACACCAAGAGTTGCTTCGCAAGGTACCAAGCTATAGCCCCTAGAGGTATAAGTATCATGTGAAGAATAAAGTACTATGGGGATTTATTCATTCACTCAACAAATATTTATTGGCTGCCAATGTAACAGTAAACAAGACAGATATGATGCTGCTCTCAGAGAGCTGATAATTCATGATATAACTTTTGCTGGATGCACCAGAAAAAGAGGGATACATTTTAGCTTGGCCTTCAACTATACCTAGACTTTGGGCAGGTGGGGATCTGGGGATTGGGATGGCATTCTTAGGTACAAGGGTAACAGGAGAAAAATGAAAAACACTAAAGCATGAGAAAATTAGTAGGACATGTACGGGGACTTTATAAAAGCAAGAACCATATTTTATCGACTTTAAGGTTCCATCAATTTAATTCAGGATCATAAGAAAGAAAAATCAAAAATCAAACCAAAAGAAAAAATAGTAATTAAAGTTTTACAGAAATAGTTCTCAACTGGGGGCGATTATTGTCCTCTAAAGGGCATTTGGCAATATTTGGAACCATTTTTGTTGTCACAACTGATAAGACTAGTCTTTAGTAGATACCAGGTGAGGGATTATTGCTAATCATCTAAAACGCACAAGAGACCTCCCACAAAAAAAGAATTATTTGGCCTAACATGTCAATAATGCCAAGGTTGAGAACTCCTAAACTACAGAATGTTACAAGTTGAAAGACGCATCTAGGATACCTAAAAAGTATTTTAAGATACAGAAAATGCAGTAGTTCAGTTTACCTGAAATGAACCCAAGATTTGTAAAGGAATACTGGGAAATAATGCTGGCACTCTGTATCTGAATCTGTTCTCTCACCTTTGGAATAGTAAAGTGATAATGATCAGGGACTATGTTTTAAGAAATTAATTTAATGCAGTGTAAGTCACAGAGCTGGCCTTTGATGACCACTCTGTCCAAACTTTGCTTTCTAGAAACCCTGCACTCTAATCACTCCAAATGATATATCTATTTCTGCTAATTCTCATCTCAGAATAACACTCATCTCAGAAGAAATAACACTGACTCACCTCACCAATCATATGGTATCTCTGATTATTTTTCTTTTTTAAAGCCCAGCTCTATGCCACTTATTCCTCCTCTCATGCAGTGTTTAACATATTATTTTCTTCCTTTGAACTTTTAAAATATATCACCTGTATCTAACAGCATTCACTATGTGTGTGATTTATCCTTCCTCTACATGTAAGTTCCTTTGGGTCATGATCCATGATTGTTTCATACTTGCAACTCTCAGGGGACCCACGATAGTGCCTTGCACATCAAAGGGGTCATAAATATTTGCGGACTGAGTAATGAATAAATACACAGTACTGGGAGAATATAATTAAATACAAATTCCTCAGACTTCTCTCACCCTTTCCTCACAGGGCTCATTTTGTAAACGTGAATCATTTTAGTAGCTCTCCAAGTCCTCATGCTTTAGCTATAGGGTCTCAGAGGGAGCGGGGTTCTTAACCCTTACTTTACAAAACACCATTAAATAAATTCCATTACATTTCAGATCATATCTCCAAGGGTATCAGCCAGTACTTGCTCTCAAGACACTTAAAACATCTTATATAGGCAGAGTCCCAAATTCCCTGAAAAAAAGACAATTAGGGTACAAATATGAGCAATAAGAAAACTTCTACTCATTGCTCACAAATCCCAATTGCATTCTTGATAATCATACTTTTTGCAAATGTGTGTATGTGTGTGTGGGGGGAATTTAGAACATAACAAACATCTTAAAAATGTATGAATGTAACAAACAAAATAAGAAAAAAGGTCAGTTACAGAATTTTAAGGAGATTCTTTAAAAGATAATAAAAAGCAAGACTATTATTATTTTATTGTTATACAGCTTAATGGTGGAAGATAAGATTGCGGTCAATCCATACAGAAAATTAAGAAGACCATGTTTTAGAATACTTTGCAGGGCTTTTTTTTTTTTTTTTTTTTTTTTTGAAGTCCCCTCTTTTTTTTCCTTCAGCGTGGTCCTTAAGCATCAATCAACGTTTGGTGCCAGATTCTAGCAAGTCTTTTGCTTCATTTATTTTGGCTGCTACGTAAGGAGATCCACCTGAGACAACAAAGAAAAATGAATTAAAATATACTTCATCATTGATACTAAAAATACTCTTCTCTGATATTGTCTCACACATTAATCCTGACAAATTATTTTATAAGCTAACTAGAAATCAAAACAGTACAAATTAAACTTGATTAGTGAAGTCCTACAACTATCCAACAATTAAAAAAAAACCTCTGAGAAAAATGATGAAAGGAAGTTATGATCAGGAATAACTTGAAAAATACTCAAATACTTCATGGGTCAGGAATTCACCTTTCCAGTATTTGACCAGAGAATTTTCTAAAATTAAGTGGATGGTTAGGTAAATAAAATAACAATCTTTTCCATGACTGTTTTCTTTCTTTTTTTTTTTTTAAAAGACACATTCATCTGTGAAAAGAGGTATCTTTTTGAAGAACATAAATCAATTCAAGGGGTCTTTTTAAAGTATTAATCAAGTCTTACGATGTCACAAAAATAAAATGCATGTTTAAAAAGGCAACTATGTACTACCCAGTGCTAAAAACCTACTTACTTGAGATAAATGATCAAATATTAATAAATGAGAGATAAAAATAAGGTCAAAAGAAATTTTTGTTCTCTGAAATGATTCTATTCGAATTTTGACAGAGTGTAGTTCTGGATTTACAGCACCCCAAAATAAAACTGAGTCAGTTCCTTTTTAGAGTTCTTTGCAATGAATTCTTTCTAATGCACAGCAAGAGGAAAATTGAGGTGAATTTCAAATGCAGAATCATTGTAAATCACAAACAGAACCTATTTGACATACAAAAATACTAGCCCCAAACTGTCACATGAAAGCTAAACATCATACGCCTTCTAACTTCTAGTCCTGAATACTGTCATTGTTTAACGCTCAGACTAACAATCGTATTACAGCTCACCAGTCTCTTTGTGTTTTTAATTTTGTATTCTCCCCTTAAGTGCAAACCATCTATAGCTGCTGAAAACATCATAAGGTCTCAGTAGCTTACAACAAACCAAAAAGCATCTAGCTAATATTGGTGTACATTGTCCTGACTTTTTTCCGGCCTTTTATTGATATCATACCACCCAACTTATGAACGGAAAAGAAAGCAAAGAAAATACATCGACAAACATGGCGTTGTGGTAGAAAGGGTAATGCTGGAGAAAGCTATATTTAGCTCTTTGCCCTTGAGGATACCACTGACATTTTCATATCAAGATCTGAATTGCTATAAACACTTATGGAATATATCACAGTATGTCCTTGAATGTGCTATAAGAGTTACAAAGAAAGCTGGTAAAAGTTTAAAGCACTTGGTTATGAAATCTGTTGATTTCATGATTATCTTTGCAGACGATCTAGCAATCAGGAATTACGTAATGTCAATGTGGTAAGCTGTTTAAATTTTTAGAGTTATCAGGGTGATGTCCTCAATGTCTTGAATATCCTCAGCAAATATTAAAATATTAAACTTAAACATAACATTTGATTGATATGCATTCTGGATATTTAAATCATAGGCTGTAACATGCTCACTCAGCAGTTTGAAAAAAATCAAAGGCATAGATGATAGAAAGTCTTATACATTTTGGACTGGTTCTTGTGACCCTCATTCTACCTCTAAATAGTTGGAAAAGTTCCTCAGTCCAAAACTACAATTCCTATAGTCTCTTCAAGCAGTGTTTGATTCACATTAGGTTCCATTAATTAGAGCCATTCTTGTGAGACTTGGAAGGCTGAAATGCGGGAAAGCCTTTCTTGCTGAACCTCTTTATCATTATTACTCCCAGTAAGCAAGAGTGTGGTTAGAGTGGTGGCAGCAACTGTGCTTCTCCCACAGTTCTAGTGGCAGCCTGTGAGGCAGCAGCTTCCCTGACACAGTAGCTCTGTAATTGTTTAGGAATGATTCTTGTAGGTCAAGTGTAGAACTTGCTCCTTCAGATCTTCGAACAACGTGTAACCTACGCTAAATGTTCTCCTGGTTAAAATACCTAGTTGCTGGCAGTGAATCCTGACTGATAACACAGGATAGGATGCACACCCTAAATTTAACGAAAATGAAATACTCTCGGCTATACACAGCGGCTCACGCCTGTCATCGCAGTACTTTGGGAGGCTGAAGTGAGAGGGCTGCTTGAGCCCAGGAGTCTGAGACCAGCCTGGGCAACATAATAAGATTCTGTCTCTACAAAAAATTTAAAAATTAGTTGGGTGTCGTGGTGCACACCTGTAGCCTAAGGCTGCAGTGAGCCTTGATCGCACCACTACACTCCAGCCTGGGCGACAGAGTGAGGCCCTATCTCCAAAAAAGAAAATAAAAAGAATAAAGAAAATAACACTCTTCAACCCCTCTCGGTGTTCTGGGGGAATTCAGTGAGTTCCATTTAATTAGAACACTCACCTTCACCCTTGGTATTTCTGTACCTTTGTACTTCTACCACTAAATACTGCCAGAGGTCTTCTGCTTCTGGCTACTGTGAACCATCATGTTTAAGACCAACTCTCCCACTGACACCCAACTAGAAGAGCTAAATAAAATAAAAGCACATCAGTATAAAAGCACTGGAGGGCTACCAAGTCAGTCAGGTCTTGAGGGCCAACATCCTGGAGATAAGGGAAATGTACTATGATGAGTCCAACATTCTGCACTGCTTTTTTCCTTCAAAGAAGCCAGACACATAAGAGTATATAATACCATTCCATATATATGAAACATGTCTAAGGCCGAGCACAGTGGCTCAGACCTGTAATCCCGGCACATTGGGAGGCCAAGGCGGGCGGATCACGAGGTCAGGAGATCGAGAGCATCCTGGCTAACACATCTCTACTAAAAATACAAAAATATAAAAAATTTTAGGGAAACCCCGTCTCTACTAAAAATAAAAAAAATTAGCCGGGTATGGTGGTGGGCATCTGTAGTCCCAGCTGCTCAGGAGGCTGAGGCAGGAGAATGGCATGAACCCGGGAGGCAGAGGTTGATGTTGCAGTGAGCCGAGATTGTGCCACTGCACTCCAGCGTTGGTGACAGCGAGACTCTGTCTCAAAAATACAACACAATACAATACAATACAATACAATACAATACAATACAATACAATAAAAGATATGTCTAATCTATAGTCTATGGCAGAAAGAAGAATGGTGACTGCCCAGGCTGTGGATTGCCCAGGCTGTGGGGAGGGACTGGCAATGGGAAGGGGCAAAAAGGAACCTTTGGAGCTTACGGAGATGGTATATGTCTTGACTGTTAGTGGTTACATGCACATATATATTTGCCAGAACTCATCAAATTATGCATTTAAATGGGTGCATTTTATTCTATATAAATTATATCTCAATAAAGTTGATTAACAAAAATCCAGCAGACTATATATTAAGAGACTATACTTTTAAGAAACAGAAAAACATATACACTATCAAAAATAAAGCTGACATTGTTATACTAATTATAAGATAAAGTACATTTTAAGGTAAAACGCAAAACTAAAACGGGCAATTTCACAGTGTTACAAGGGTCAGTCTACTGGTAAGAGAAGGCAATTGTAAAGTTGAATATACCTAATAAGATAGCCCTCAAAATACACAAAGAAAAAAAGGAGAAAACCAAAAGGAAAAACACACAAATCCACAATCTTAGTGAGTGATCCCTCTTCTCAATAACGCATAAAACAAGTAGACAAAATGAAAGAGTAAGAACACTGAAGTTAAATAACATCAACAAACTTGATTTAACTGACACACATAAAACATTCCGCCCTACAAGTGTAGAATGTATCTTCTTTTAAACTGCACATGGAACATTTACTGTAACTGACCATGTGCTAGGGTATAAAGTAAGTCTCAACAAACTTCAAAGATTAAAATAACAATAAATGGTGCTATGTAAAGTATCTTCCATGGATGAATGTTGATTTACAACTGCTATTAGACCATAGGTTTGGAAACTGAGATTAAGTGTTCAGAAAATACAGCTGTTTGAAATAATAGTGTACCCCTGTAAAACCTGGATCTTACATACATACTTTTTTCCTCAATTTTCTCATTTCATTTTCATTGTATTTTACAAAAACTGTCAGTCCACTAGAGATTGACAGAAAAAAAAAAAAGTCCTCCAACAGAGTTTGAGAAACACTGAAACAGAGTCTGTTAACTGACCATAGGAGAACTAAACTAGAAATCAATAACAAACACATCTAGAAGATCCCAACGTTTGAATATTAATCAATACACTCCTAAATAACTCACGCATCAAGGAAGGTAGCTCAATAGAAATTAGCATTTGAGAGAGAATCAACACAGTGAAAGATTAGTTCTCTAAAAACATAATCAACTTCATGTCAGAGCAAGTAAAAATGTAAAAGATAAATTCCAAGAAAAAGAAAACCTTTCAAAACTAATATAAGAAGAAATGGAAAATCAAAAGAATATTTAAGAAGCTAAACATGTAATTAAAAATCTTCCCCAAAAATAATAATCCTGGCCATGATTTTGTTGAATTTTTCCGAAAAACAGAAGAGAAAGAAAACACTTTCAACTCTTTTTATGAGGTTAGCATATCTTTGATAACAAACCCTAATGAAAACGTTACAGGGAAACCACAGATCCGTATCTCTCATGAGCGCAGGTGCAAAACAAACAAAATATTCACTTATCAAATCAGACTAGATATGATGACCAAGTTAAGGTTTGTATCAGGAATGCAGGACTGGCTTACATATCCAAAAATTAATTGATGTAATTTACCACATTAACAGAATAAAAAATAAATATATATTTATTAATTTATTTTTTTGACACAGAGTTTCTCTCTTGTTGCCCAGGCTGCAGTGCAGCCGCTAGATTTTGGCTCACTGCAGCCTCTGCCTCCCGGGTTCAAGCGATTCTCCTGCCTCAGCCTTCCGAGTAGCTGGGATTATAGACATTCACCACCATGCCCGGCTAATTTTGTATTTTTGGTAGAGATGCGGTTTCTCCATGTTGGTCAGGCTGGTCTTGAACCCCTAATCTCAGGTGATCTGCC